GCATGCGGGTTTGTGCCTATTCACCATAAAATTCAGAAGCACGCATGAGCCATGTTACGAATTGCTAACATACGTTACGATACGTGGCTAGTGGAAACCAGGCTTTGTTTAGAATAGACACGTTTCGGTGTCTCATGATGTCATCTTCAGAACATCAAGTACATAAGTAATACAAAGATTATATAGAAGTAATATGATACATATATTATAACAATAATAAGGTAATGAGATGAATTAATGGGGAGCGTGCTAAAAAGTAAATATTGTGTTCAATTTAAAAACTTGAACATTGTGGTCAGGGTTAGTTTCATTAATGTGCAGTGCTTCTTTGATTTTCAGGGAGAATGAGGTGTCTGCAGTGTCGATGATTTTGAAGCAAAAAGGTGAATAGTTGGTTTTACATGAGTGAGATTTAAGAAGGTGTAGGTAGATAAGAGAGTTTTTGTCAGTTGTGGTATGCTGCCTGTATCTGGTGGATAAGTGGCGCGAAGTTTCGCCAATGTATCGGGAATTACATCCCGCGCAATTGAATTCATATACCACAATGGTTAAATTGAATCAGGATCGGGTCTTTGAATGAGAAGAAGTTTTTGATTTTAAATGATGTGAAAAATAGTCGAATGTCTATACCTGTACAGAAGCCTTTCATAATGTTTGCAAGTCTGCGCTGTGTGTGTCGTGAGTAATTTCCGATGTATGGCAGTTTGAAGTATAGAGTTGTTATTTTGGAATTTTCATATGTGTTTGTCGTCACGGTCGTGTCAGGAGTTTCGGTGTCCAGTTTGAGGTTATCGCCTTGTTTGTTGTCGAGAATCGTTTTACGGTTCGGTTAGTAAAGTGTAGTGGGAAAGAGTTTCGTAAAAGAGTGGATGTGATGTTTCATATGTCTCTTTAAAAGCCATTGTTAGTATTGCCCAGTTTGTATGCTCTGTTGATTACTCTGCGTATAAGTCCGGTTTTGTATGAAAGCGGTGCGAAACTAAAATAGTTCATCAGAAGTCATTTAAAATAGACGACAAATTTCTTTATACCAAACATGTTTCGGCTTACTTTATGCCAACTTCAGTGCGAAGTGAATAGATATAGGAAGTTTAGATGATAATATGTTATAGTGATCGGTAGTGGGAAACAAATAAATTTTGGAAAGACATCAAAGGATTGCCAATTATTGAGGAAATTTACATCTAAATGAGCTTTACGTTCTTTAGCTGTTAACTTTTCCCATTTTCGGAAATCAGCTAAGGAAACCTTTTCCTACTATAATTATTCACTTCGCACTAAAGATAGCATAAAGTATGCCGAAACATGTTTTCTATAAAGAAATTTGTCGTCTATTTTAAAAGTTTTAAAACCATTGTGCTCCTACGAAATTAAGGAAACTTCATCAGAAGTCCTGTGTATGTTGGTTTGTGATATATAGATGTTGTACAGCTGTCATAAGGTTTTGCTAGTAAAATGTCAAGAAATGGCATTTGATCTTGTTGTTCAATTTCGAATGAGAATCTAATGTTTTTGCGTGCTGTGTGTTGATGTAATTATAAAATTTCATGGCCTCAGTCTCAATAGTAAAAACACGAAATATATCGTCAACGTAACTGCGGTAAAATAGTGGTTTAGTGTCGTTGTAATTGTTTAGCCAGTTTCGTTCATGTAAGCCCATGAAAATAATATCAAGTATGGGCGGCTAAAGGAGAACCCATCGCAACACCATCCGTCTGGTTATAAAATTTTCCATTTGACTAAAAAATGCGTCTTTGCTGTCACTATCAAAAGCAGATGCGTGAAGTCCGTCTTGTTTATTGTGATACTGGGGTTGTGATATTGCGTCAATTGCTAGGTTGATGGTTTCAGTCAGTGGTATGTTTGTAAATAGGCCTTCAACGTAATAGGAGATGAAGAGTTTGTGACAAGAGGTGGATGGGCTGAAAGATGAGAAGTCGTCGAGGAAAGTGAAAGAATCTTTAGTGGAGTGGTCATCTGGTACGAGTGGTGTTAGTAGAGAACTAAAATACTTAGCTAAATTATAATTGTGTGCGTTCATTGATGAAACTATCGGTCGTTGATCTGGTGCTCGTTTCTTGTATAGTTTCGGTAAGCCATAGAAGCGTGAGAGTTGAGAACCTCTGGGAAGATGTCATTATAGACTTTGTTGTTAATCGAGCCTTTCTTTAGAAGCTTTCTTAACAGTCATTGCAGTTTTGCTTCCCGTGATAGTGTGACATGGACTTTGCTGTATTGTTAGTAATTTTAAGACAGGAGTTACGATACATATGACGATCCAGGATCACAACGCCGTTGCCTTTGTCCGGTTTGAGAATGATAATGTTTGGATTGTTGCGAATGTTTTTAAGTATGTGATGTTTTTTGAAGTCAGCTGTTGTCGGGTGATAAGATGAGATGTACGAGTGAGCGATGTGTGCCCTGCCAGCTGATCGCGACTAAAACACCACACGAGTACATACGAGTACATACGAGTACATACGAGTACATACGAGTAACATACGAGTACATACGAGTGACATACGACTATTTTCTGGTCAACAAATGAGAAACAACACAATTTCTTCAATACATTGATATTTGCGTTTATTTTTCCTTGTATTTGTGTGGACTTTGGGGCAACCATTTGATGGATTCAAATGCTGAAAAGGTATTTTACTTTCATACTACATTCATTTGTATGTTTTAGGTGAATTTGTAATTGATATTTCGTCGATGCGATTTGCCAGTATTTGAGCGCTTTTTGACAAACTTTCACCTAGGAAATACATATTTATGAAAGCGATTGTTATTCATTTTGACTCTGAAGATGACTACCGCAAAGGTTGTCGAAACGTCAGTCAACAACAACAAAAACAGTCCTTCTCAGGACTATACCAACCTGGACGATCTACATTTACAAACATCTAACGATACTCCCGGGTTAAAACCATTTACTTTATAGATAAGGATCCAAAATGCACGAATTGCTAAGTATAGCTAACTGTTTTGCCATTGTAAATACTCACTCCGATCTGTTTTGCAATTTTTACTTCCTACACTTTTTAAAATAAAATCAACGATGAACATCAACTTTGTTTTCTAAAAAATATTACTATATTTAAACTGAATTAAAACTATAGCTATAAACAATAAATCTTACGCTATTTCTTGAATGTCAACATTTACGTAAAACATTTACATGTGTCAAAAAGCGCTCAAATACTGGCAAATCGCATCGACGAAGTATCAATAACAAATTCAACTAAAACATACAAATGAATGTAGTATGAAAGTAAAATACCTTTTCAGCATTTAAATCCATCAAATGGTTGCCCCAAAGTCCACACAAATACGAGGAAAAACAAACGCAAATATCAATGTATTGACGAAATTGTGTTGTTTCTCATTTGTTGACCAGAAAATAGTCGTATGTCACTCGTATGTACTCGTATGTTACTCGTATGTACTTGTATGTTACTCGTATGTTACCATTGAGTTCTATAATAACTGGAGCGGCTATCTTTACTGGGGCGAGGTCGCCAAAAAAATGGCGGCCAACGGACGTATTTCCGCTGAAATGATCGCTTTGCAGAAAAATAATATTCTCGACCTCCCCCTGGTGTCTATAGTAAATTATAAAGAATTTTTCAAAAACAAACACGATATCACAGAATATGGATATCGTTAGTTCCATATTCTGTGACGATTCTTTTTTGGCATTTCTTTTATAATGCCAACACTTCAATCGTTCAATTGTTGGATGTCGTAGTTTCCACAAAAAGGTACATATCGCTTCCCACAGGTGAGGTAGTTGTTTGTTTTGTTAGTCCGTCAACGATTGAAAAGCAATTATACATGCACTTGAAAATCCATAAAATACATATTAAAGATCGTATTTTTTAAGACTGACTTGAACGCCAAATATACTGATGTTTTCCTGTTTTTGTCTATAAATTTCTGCATACTTTTCTGTCATTTGTTAATGCATGAAATCGTAAATTTACCTATCTATTTGCAAAATAGTTTCCCTAAAGCAAAAAGACCCTGCACACATTTTGCTCTGTGAAAGTATCAAGAAGAAATGATCAGCCCCAACAGTACCCATGATTTGGAGCAGAGCTTGTTATGTTGTATTTGCTGACAACATGCAGGGAAGACCAAGAAGTAAAGATGACTGGAAGATGTTATTGATCAGGCAGAGTCTTAAAAATGATAATGCTGTAAAGATAATTGATTTATTGTCTGCCTTATCCAGAGTTATTTAATTTGATCATGGTCAAATTCTATGGATGGAGACAATGGATTCACTAATGATGCCTTGAATGCTTTGAAGTTGAAGTTCATGAACCAAAAAAAGATGGCAAGAAGGTTGTGTGTTTTGATGCTTAATTAAATGTCAATTCACAACATATAAAATGGAAAGGCCATAAAGTTTGTGTCTATGTAAACATTTGTACTGAGATTGATGATGACTTGATGCAGATGTGAAGCATTAAACTGAATAAGCCATTGGGTTTTATATAACATAATGTTTAAATCATGGCATATCTTTATCAAAATATTTTAGTTGAGTGTTGTTTAAATGTTACTAATATCTAATGCACTATACTGAAGCATTAAAGATTCAGTGATGAAACCTTTAAATTTACTGTACTGTATATTTCTTATATATTTCTTATATTTCTTTAAGAAACAGTTTGAGCTTATTTACCTATTAGAGTACAGAATGGGATTTATCATATGCATCATTGCTGCTTTTTAAATAAATGTTTTCACTTTTCAAAGCTTTTCTACAAATATTTTGCTTCTTATTTCTTTTCATGAGATTGATGATATAGAGGTAATATAATCCAATAACTTTATAATTTCTAGAAAGCTGTTAAGCTTCTAGCATAAAAGTACACTATAGGTATTTAATTCATTTGGTTTTATTGCCTTGTTATGACATATCCATATGCATTTCATCATTCATGTATGAAGAAAACACCAAATGTGGATACTCAGAGAACAAAATGCACTACCAACTGCTTATGAAATTTATTATTGAAGTGAAAACTGTTTTAATCATTCAAATTGTGCACTTATATTGAAAATATAGGAAAAACAAAACAAAGTGAAAAATAAGGGTAGAAGTATTAAAACTAAAATGAATTATAAACACCATTGGAAGCATAAGTGTTTTGATGATTATTTGCATTTTGCCCAATTTATATATCAATACAACAAAATCAAAATGTGCTACAACTTTACAAGTATTTGATGCAGTTGCACTTCAGAACATCACAAAAGGTTACTTAAAGTAATTTCTATACAATATTGTTTGTTTTCATTTACCAAACCTATGCAGACTTGAGTCTTTTGAAATTTAATATGAAACTCAATTACAGAAAATACGTAAATATCCAGAGATTTAATATTTACTTTTTAAAGAAACAAGTAAAAGAAGCAAAATAGCAATGATAAAAATAAGCTAACTTCTCTCTCGTGAACCACTGTGGAGATGAACTATGATATACTTTTTTGTATAGACTAAAGAGTTTAATCGATCAAACAAGTTTGACGCTGGTAAGAAAACGACGCATATCTGCATTCATAGATGTGTAGCCGACATATAGCTCTTTCATCGATAGTTATAAATACATCCTCGTAGGAGCCGATAACTGGAAAGCTATGTTGACTCGCTGTTACGAATTGTAGGTTTTTATCGTGATTTTCATCAAAAAATTGCTTGCCGAATCCCAAATACACACATACATTTACCTCACTCTTTCCTCAGGAGGGAGTGGGAAATTGTGAAATTTTCGGAAAAGCGGTCAATTTCGGTAAATCTCAGCGGCAACGGACGAAATCCGCCATTTTTTTGGCGTCACCAGATATCTAAGGCCGCGCTTGAGATAGCCGCTCCAGTTATTATAGAACTCAATGTATGTTACTCGTATGTACTTGTATGTTACTCGTATGTACTCGTATGTCACTCGTATGTACTCGTATGTTACTCGTATGTACTCGTATGTACTCGTATGTACTCGTATGTACTCGTGTGGTGTTTTAGTCACGATCCTGCCAGCTCTGTTTTGAGATGCGAGTAGTTTTCTTGATTGCGAATGTTGTGTCTTATAGTTTGGTGGATTTTTTCAAATGTTGCCAGAATTTCCGTTGAGTTGAATCGAAGTGGTTTAATGCTGAACCCAAGTCCAACTTCATTTCCTTATTCTTGTTATAATTTATGTATCATATAAACTTTGTATAAACTTTTATATAAACTTTGTATTACATAGGTATTATTCACTTATACTGAAGATGGCATCATGAGACGCCGAAACATGTCTATTCTAAAAACACTCGTCGTCTATATTAAGTGCACATTAGCAATAGCGCTTCTACGAAATTATGAAAACAGGCTTTATAAGAACTAACTTGTCCTGCTACCGAATTTTGGAAAATTTTTTACAGATTTAAATTATTGACATGAATACTGATCTAAACTACAATTTCTTAAGCGAGGGAAAATTTATGAATGAATTGTGATTGTCTTGGCAAAGACAATCTGTCAATTATGAGAGTAAAATTTCTGCAATTGCTAATAGAAAGCAAATCATCCTTGTGTAGGAATATCGATTATTGGGGAATGGGCCATATTGATAATTACATAATATTGGTGTTCAATTCATTTGAAATGCATTATTTAAATAAACGAATCAGAACATACGACCTTCGAAAGATACGACCTTTAAAATCATACAAACGTATTGCACATAAATCAAATAATATATTTACCATTTACTGTGCTATTTACATAAATCGATTGAATAAAAAACTTAAACAGATTTCTGTGCCGCCTATGGTGAACCATGCATGCATTAACCAATCTTATTTACATATTAATTTATGATGCGAATAACATTGATGTTTATGCTCAGTAAGTAAAACTACTTATATTTATGTCGATTAGACTTAAATAAGGCTTTTATTCTAAAAAATGTGTGCCTATAAAATACAGCATGTTTTATCACCACAAAATACAGCGCAAATTATATGGACACAATCTGGCTCGATCTTGCCTCGATTTGTGAAAGGCTTTTTAAATCTCGAAAAAAATATGTAATTGTAAGATAGCAATCGAACTACCTTATACGTCCGGTTACCCCTCTTATCAGTCGAGACCATTCTAAACTGTCCACTGATCTGGCCATTGACCAATAAAATAAGCGTTTTTGGCGTTCACAAACTACTTTATCATTCGAACCAGTCAAGCCACCCCGATTATCAGTCGGTTATTCCAGGTCAATTAAATTTCAACTGATCTGGTTATCAACGAGATATTCATTGGATTAGTCATTAGTTTTCAATAATAAATAAAGCTGAATTTTTATCACGAAGTAAATGTGATAATAAAGTAAGAATAATTAATGATTTTTAATTAATATGAATAGGTAATTTTTGAATTTCAAACATCAGTTGCGCGACGGATTTGACATACTCTAGATCTGCCCCTGCAATGTATGACACTATGACAGTATAAATATTAAACAGTAAATTACTATAATGCCTAATGTGCCTATAATCACAGAATACATATCTTATCAGATCCGTTTTACACGCATCAATGGAACACACACAATTCAAAAACCTCTTCCAATCAGAAAGCCTCCCAGATGATGCCCAGTTGGCAAAATTTGTCTAGGTTGGGGAAAATAGATATCTACCAAACAAATGGCTGGATTGCCCACTAAGGTTGGACAAAATGGCGTCTCTGCCTAACAACCACAAAGCTATGAATAAATCAGTCTTATCTGGACTGCTAATCGCAACATGCTAATCGATTAACTATGTTAATTAATTAGTATTTTGCTGTTCTAGTATCCTGATCGTATAAAATCAAACTCAGATTGGTTTAGGAATTTTACAACAGGCAAATGCCTTAGTTTCCTACCCCTATATCCGCCACTCATGCTCATGTAATTTGCAAAATTGATTCTTGACTGCGGTCATGTATCGTAAAATATCGCCCAATTCTGCAGCCAATCAGAATGCCGGGAAGCATTCACCTTGCTGATGATTTGTAAAAAATTTCTTAGAAAGAAGTGTGTAAGTACTTTGCATTTGTGAAAGTACAATCAGTTTCATCATGAGGATTAAGGTAAAATTGAACATAGGAAGTTGAACGGTAACTCCTTTTTCCAGTTTTTTTATTTCCACGATTGAAGCTTTTAACTTGCGACAGCGAATCTCATTAAGGCCTACGTATGAATGAGCGACTCTCAATTGCTATCTCAATCAAGCTTTTTTGTTCGAAAATATTTTAAACAAACAAAAAATTTTTATTTCGATGGTCACAAATTTTATCTTATTCATTCTGATTACAATTTTCCCTTTCTTTCTTTCTGCAACCCAAAGAAACAATGAATTTTAGTAAGCCCCAACCTAGCGAGAGGTCTCTACGGACCGAGTTGCTCTTTTACAGATTGAGCACGGCAGCCCTAGGACGTGTATCAAAAGACAGAGATCCAATAGTTATCCGTTAAAACCGAGCAAGAAAAGTTAATAAGAAGTTTACTATATGGCATTATTTGACCTAAAACAAAGCTTTCTTTCTTTTCTCATTCTCTTTGTCTGTTTTGGCTTTACTCCTCTTCTTTTGTCAATAAAAAATAAAGCGTCTAAAAATCTGTCGTCTGGAAAATAGAATTCTTTTCCCCCTTGTTTCCCTTACGACTCGTATATCTACATGATTTTTGTTTCGTTTATTTTTTGCGTTTTATGGAACTTGCTTTATGTTTTATAAAATTTGTATATCTTTACATTTTGTCGAAAAAGCTACGTGGTATTAACCGCTTGTTTAGTACTTCAGAAATAAAAGATGTTTGCTTTGTTTGCACAGACTTATGCAATATGAGGTGACCTTTAGAACCGAGGGTCGAGGGTTGCGCCTGCACGAAAGTTCTCACAAACGTCTCCTAGGTGTGCGTAAGCCAGTGCATACACGAAAAACTTCTTTTATTTCTTTTATAAAATAACAATAATGCGACAAGACAAGTTTAAAACAAACGTTTTAATTTTTCATCTAATATGTATTCATGATCGATTTGCAAATTCTCTTTGACTGATTGATTGTTTTGATTGATTTGACTAGTTGAGCTCAAATCTGTTTTACACTGACTGGTGCAAACATGGCTGGAGACCAATCACCGCTTGCGTTTCATTGTTTTTTTATTTTATTAAGGAAAACAATATGTTTGAGCCAATTAAAGCACCTGAAATGACGCTTGCCATACAATAACAACCGTTGTATCAGTTCTATATGTACACGAATATCCCGCTTCTATAGAGCATGTTTTGATACGTGCATCTTTTTTTTAATGAAAAATTTTTGGAAAGTAATTTTTAATATGTGTTATTTTTTTATGATTAAGTTTCAGATAAAATTGTTTGAAATAGCATAAAAAGTGACGGATGAATGCCATTAGAAATTGGGAACAGTATTGTATACAAATCAGTCGCATAACCTTTAAATGCTAAGAGTGTTTTGATCTTGCATGAAATTGTATTTATACGTGATGATGAAATGCATACTTACGACTCCAATTTTATATGAAACTCAACTGTACAACGTAGCAGCTTAACATTGTACTCAGTAAACGTTTAGGTTTTTTTTATTTGCCTTTTTATTTTTATGTGTTTGAAAGTACAGGTCGAAAGGACAATTATTAAACGAGTATTGCTTAGATGCCCGAGAACATTGTACTTTTGTTGAAATTACATCATAAACCAAAATTACGTTGGTTCAACATTAGCAAGTTATTCCTCAATGATAAGGTATATATTTTTTAGGAACACGGCATAGTGTTTTTATTAAGGATTTTTGGTTAAAATTGTTATAAATGTCTCCTAGAAACCAAAGAGGGAAGGAGCATTTTATGAATTGTCATATATTACTTTGTTGACTAGTATATAATTTATTCTACTCTCATTGCACTAATTCAAATTTCTTATTCTCTGCAATCAAGAGGTAGAAAATGGCGTCACAATA